TAAGGATCTGTTAACCAAAATTTGATATCATGATTATAACTTGTTCAAATGGCTTTTAGAAAATGTTCAAATGATTTTTAGAATATTTTAATTACTTTTGCAATGCTAATTACTCGCCACTTATGGGTTTTCGAGGTCATTTCTTGGTGCTTGTGTATTATTCTGGATGTACTTAAATAGTTAGGCACATTAAATTTTAGTTCAGAGAGAAAACGTATTTTTGGCCAAAAATCCTTTAAGGCTATAGACTTACAATTTTCGTAATTTCGGCCAAAAAATGGATTTTGTTCAAAATTTCAGTATAGGTACTCCTGAATGTGCTGCTTAAGGATCTGTTAACCAAAATTTGATATCTTGATTATAACTTGTTCAAATGGCTTTTAGAAAATGTTCAAATGAATTTTAGAATATTTTAATTACTTTTGCAATGCTAATTACTCGCCACTTATGGGTTTTCGAGGTCATTTCTTGGTGCTTGTGTATTATTCTGGATGTACTTAAATAGTTAGGCACATTAAATTTTAGTTCAGAGAGAAAACGTATTTTTGGCCAAAAATCCTTTAAGGCTATAGACTTACAATTTTCGTAATTTCGGCCAAAAAATGGATTTTGTTCAAAATTTCAGTATAGGTACTCCTGAATGTGCTGCTTAAGGATCTGTTAACCAAAATTTGATATCTTGATTATAACTTGTTCAAATGGCTTTTAGAAAATGTTCAAATGAATTTTTAGAATATTTTAATTACTTTTGCAATGCTAATTACTCGCCACTTATGGGTTTTCGAGGTCATTTCTTGGTGCTTGTGTATTATTCTGGATGTACTTAAATAGTTAGGCACATTAAATTTTAGTTCAGAGAGAAAACGTATTTTTGGCCAAAAATCCTTTAAGGCTATAGACTTACAATTTTCGTAATTTCGGCCAAAAAATGGATTTTGTTCAAAATTTCAGTATAGGTACTCCTGAATGTGCTGCTTAAGGATCTGTTAACCAAAATTTGATATCTTGATTATAACTGGTTCAAATGGCTTTTAGAAAATGTTCAAATGATTTTTAGAATATTTTAATTACTTTTGCAATGCTAATTACTCGCCACTTATGGGTTTTCGAGGTCATTTCTTGGTGCTTGTGTATTATTCTGGATGTACTTAAATAGTTAGGCACATTAAATTTTAGTTCAGAGAGAAAACGTATTTTTGGCCAAAAATCCTTTAAGGCTATAGACTTACAATTTTCGTAATTTCGGCCAAAAAATGGATTTTGTTCAAAATTTCAGTATAGGTACTCCTGAATGTGCTGCTTAAGGATCTGTTAACCAAAATTTGATATCTTGATTATAACTTGTTCAAATGGCTTTTAGAAAATGTTCAAATGATTTTTAGAATATTTTAATTACTTTTGCAATGCTAATTACTCGCCACTTATGGGTTTTCGAGGTCATTTCTTGGTGCTTGTGTATTATTCTGGATGTACTTAAATAGTTAGGCACATTAAATTTTAGTTCAGAGAGAAAACGTATTTTTGGCCAAAAATCCTTTAAGGCTATAGACTTACAATTTTCGTCATTTCGGCCAAAAAATGGATTTTGTTCAAAATTTCAGTATAGGTACTCCTGAATGTGCTGCTTAAGGATCTGTTAACCAAAATTTGATATCTTGATTATAACTTGTTCAAATGGCTTTTAGAAAATGTTCAAATGATTTTTAGAATATTTTAATTAATTTTGCAATGCTAATTACTCGCCACTTATGGGTTTTCGAGGTCATTTCTTGGTGCTTGTGTATTATTCTGGATGTACTTAAATAGTTAGGCACATTAAATTTTAGTTCAGAGAGAAAAAGTATTTTTGGCCAAAAATCCTTTAAGGCTTTAGACTTACAATTTTTGTCATTTTCGGCCAAAAAATGGATTTTGTTCAAAATTTCAGTATAGGTACCAGGGCTGTGGAGTCGAAGACAAAACCTTCGACTCCGACTCCTCAAATTTTTATGCTTCCGACTCCGACTCCTTGGCCTATTTGTAACAACTATTTCTACCATCCTAATTGTAATTTGTATGTTGTAACCTGCATAGGTAAAAAGTAAAACACCGTGGCTATACTGCTACAGCTTTATTAATGATCTGGACGATATTTAAGAACTACAAAAAGATGATAGGCTTGACTTTCAAAGTTTCAATCAAAAGAAAAATATATTTATTAAGAATTCAAGATATTAACTTGAAAAAACCATTTACATGTATATCTAAAAGTTCGATCTCAGCATATGAATTTTGTTTAAGCTCATAATCTGATGTGGATCTAAATGATGATCCTACAATTCCTTTTAAAGTAAAGTTATATATTTATGTACATTAAAGAAATGAATACCTTATTAAGGAAAATGGATAAACCTTACATGATTAAGTTATTAAATTAAATTTGCCTTAATCTCACCAAAAACAGGTTGTAGCTAATTGTTTTGTAGCTGAGAGCCTCTGTGCAGTTTTCAACGAAACAAAATTTGATATAATTCAAAATTTCAAATGGTAAAGAAGAGACTATCGTCCAAAATTATAGTGCTATACTGTGCCTGCTACAATAAATTCATAATAATGCTTATAAAATGGAAATAAATTCCTTTAATAATTTAAGAAAATTAGTGGGATCAGTGGAATCACTGCAATGAATATGCCTGAGTTCATATATTTGTTCTTAGGAACAGAATAGCTTCAGTCGGAGTCGGAGTCTGGACAATTTTACCGACTCCGACTCCGACTCCACAAGCCGAAATTTACTCCGACTCCACAGCCCTGCGAATTACATACAACCCTCATTGTTTATAAGCCGAGTTACATACAACCCTCATTGTTTATAAGCCGAGTTACATACAACCCTCATTGTTTATAAGCCGAGTTACATACAACCCTCATTGTTTATAAGCCGAGTTACATACAACCCTCATTGTTTATAAGCCGAGTTACATACAACCCTCATTGTTTATAAGCCGAGTTACATACAACCCTCATTGTTTATATGCCGAGTTACATACAACCCTCATTGTTTATAAGCCGAGTTACATACAACCCTCATTGTTTATAAGCCGAGTTACATACAACCCTCATTGTTTATAAGCCGAGTTACATACAACCCTC